AGCAATCTTTCTATACATGAACGCAATCGGACCATAATACTGATTTTCCTAATATATCGATTCGAGCGCCACGCATCGGTGGAGTTATTCCTTTTCATGTAGTTAATATACATATGAACGTTCTAAATATAAACCAAATCGGACTGTAAACAGGGCTTTTTCAAATATATCGCCTCGTGCGCCACCTATCGGATTAACTCATCTGTCGTATTGCATTGTCATCGGGTTCTGAGCCAACTATGAAGTTTCAAGTTTGTTAGGGGCAAATCTTGCAATCTATTTTTGACCAACTTCCCGATGTCCTGGAGACTTGAAACTTCATAGTTCACAAGCTAACTTGTAATAACAGATATTTTGTAATTTTATTTTTTATTTGTATTAAAGTCTGTTCTTTTACAAAAAGAAAAATTATACTACTAACGAAGAAGGATAAATAAAAAAGTTGTGAATGGTCAAAGGAGAAAGCGTAATAATTTTTTTAAGTAAATGTGAGCAGGAGAGAATGTTACTCATACGCCATGTACATGGCCATACACGTAGATACATACATAGCGTATGAGTAACATTTTCAATGTTAAAATTTGATTTTTTAATTCATAATGCAAACTTAAAATGAAAATATCTTGGAAAAATTACGTGATCTAGAGAAACGGTATGCAGATCCGTAATCTACAACACAAAATTAAGTGTACGTGTGTCTCCGCGTGTTTTTTTTTTTTTTTGTGAATTTAGCGTTCCTACAGTGTTATCTAAGTACTCCGATAATCAAGCGGCATTCAGGGTATTGCGCTTGTTCATGATCAGTGTTGCCAGAACTTTTTCAGAGAAAAGGCTAAATGGGCAAAAAAATAAACCTAAAAATCTAAATCAAATTTGTATTTATGGCTAAAAAAAGCTAAATTAAAAAATCAAATATTTCTTGTAAGGCAAAAAAAAGGCTTATTATCTGCCCTTTGAAGCCTTTTCAGGGGATAAGGTGGCCCTGAAAATCAAATTTTTGTTTAAAACGACAATATTATGAAATGCTTGAGCTAGACAAGGACAAAAAGTCAAAAGCATGCCTTTTTACAGTGTTGAGAGTAACATCAAAAACATTTTGAACCGTGGAAGGGCAACATTTTTCAGAAGAAACGAAATCGCCATAAGGTAAAGTGATACATTTCTCTAAGCAAAAACTTATTTTGTACTTGAGTAAATATTTTTCGTAGCCTGACAAAATCTAGACAGCTTAAGAGAAAGTTTTGGGATGATACCAGATTAACCTAACCCGTTTTGAAAAAAATGGTTCTATTGTAAACCTGCATAGTAACGAGTATTGCATGTTACCTGTAGGAACGGAAATTTTATGGATTTATATTATTAAAGAATAACAATAAAACATCGCAACAAAAACTTTCCCTGCAATGAAACATTCCATCTAAATTAAGTTATTAAATAATTTTTTTTAGCTATTAGCAAAGGTATTTTTATGTTAATTTGCTAACTGTTTGATACATAGAGGCAATGTATGTACGTATGTTTGCTGTATGTTGGTATTTATGTACATACATACAAATATAAGCGTGCTACATGCCAAATATAATTTACGCGTCCATTAATTATACGAGACATGCTATGGCGAGATTTATATGTGTTATACAATAAAAATGTTGTTTTTCTGAAACATGTCAGGTTAGCAATTTAACACTCACAATCTAAATGTAATTTATGTGCTAAGGAACAAACTTACAATACGTACAACCATATGGGCGTACGTACGTAACACATCTTAGCGTGAAACGTGGGAACATATGAAAAAATTAACGATTATTGTCTACTAATTCCTTGAATTTTTATAGATTGCGCTGGCAAAGAAAATTAATTTAGAAAGGTTTTATTGTCCATGCAGTTCATATTTCAGAGCAGACGGAAAAGCGAACTCAAGGAGAAACTCAAGCCTATTTCATCTAACGAGGTAACATCAGCGCCAGTCTTCGCTGAGTGCATAGAGAAACTTAACTCCTTTGAAAACTACAATAACATAATACATCTATTGTGGGTTCCAGAACACATGGGAATAGAGTTAGATGAGCCAAGCGAACAGACTAGTCAGAGCTTGAGTCAGAATTTTAAATAAGATCAATTTCCCTAGTCACTAAATTTGAGGGGCTCTTTTTGTGACGAAAGAGGAAGTAAGAAAAAGTCACAAAAAGTTCACATGTGAACGTGATTAGGTGGTTGGTGTCGTCGAAGGAGCCTTTTCATGCCGGACATGCATTGAGTACGTCGGCTTCTAGTCTGGACAAGTAGGTGGTGACAGGAGTAAGTGTACTTAGTGACAGTCGACTTGTGAATGCCACGGTGGGAGTAAGTGTACCTAGTGACAGTCGACTTGTGAATGCCATGGTGGTTCAGTTAGGTGAGATGCCTTCTGACGTGCCCAAGGTGAGATTCCGCCTCGAACAAGTGCTGAGCATGATGTTGAGCTCCACTACTAAGTAAATGACCTGGTCAATTAATTAGAAGTCTAACACACATAGTTTGCACCCACTACTTAGTAAGCTCGATCTCGTCAATATTTTTGGCCATCAGAACTTTAATTCCGATATCATTTTATGGTCAGTATAAAACCCTTCCAATTTTGCGTTTTTTCCCCCACTTTTTCCAGCAACGCAATTTATGGTTCGATAATTTTTTTTTTATTAGATATATATGTATGTAGGTACAAGAAAAATCAGATTTCGTAATTTTTATGAGAAATCGCTAAGCGTTTGTTTTGCACGTTGAAATATTTTATTGTGGTTAATTAAGTAATGATACAATTGTTCGTCGAGACACGCAAGCATCCAACTTCCAGCGCGCAGAGCATACACATACATATGTACATATGTACATATTTATGTGTATATACCTACATTTGAAAACGTCATGAACATTTTAATAACTTTTCATTTGTGCAATGAATTTGTTTCCGCGACATACTTATGTATGTATGTATGTATATGTATATCCACATACACACAAAAGAAAATTAAATTTCCACTCTGTGCGAAAAATCATATTCAACTACATACAAAAGATTAAATTTTTTGTACATTCCTGGTTTCTCCATTCACAATTAAGGTTTTTACATAAATCTTTCTAATTGTTAAATATATGTACATATATGTAACACATATGTAGCTACAATTCTTAAGCTGATGCCAGATAAAACTGTGTGGCTTTGCGTGACATTTATAACTTTGCCTGCAAAGCGCCAGACGCAAAAGGTATGCCATAATGAACGCCAAGAAAACAATTTTGTACTGCTTTTTTACTCGTCAAAATTGCTGTGGATTTTATTTATTTAGTTTTAAAAATATCAGCAATGTAATTAATTTCTATGTTTCTGCACGAAAACTCGAATTTGGGCGAAACAAAATAAATATTAAACCGGCTGATTGTTAACGCGCGCAAAGAGATGGGAGTTGGCCATCTTTTCGCTACGCGCTGCAGCTGAAACAATCTGTGTGACATGCTTTCTGCATTTTCATACATTTCATCTTATCTGTCAAAGCGAATCTGTCACGCAACGCGAAGCAAAAGTTTTATCTGACATCGCCTTTAAGGCGGGCGGCAATTTTACGTACGGAAAGCCGGAGACCAGTGCTGTCCAACCGGTAGTTCGCGGGCGCCTAGTAGCTCGTGACCTGTATTTTAGGCGCCCTAATATTAGTTACACATTTTCGCATTTCAAGTGACGAAATGATCTCTATGGAACCAGTGTTATGTTATCTCTTTCCGAAAAATCGATTTATGAATCATAATGGAAACCCTGCTTTATCAATTAAGAGCAAATTGTTGTTGTCACAATGCAACGAATGTTCTTTATTTATGTGAATTCCTTTATTATAGCTAGTTGTATACATTTTATTAATAAATAAAGATTTTTATAGGGATCAATTAAGATTGAAGTTAATTGAGGCGGTGCCCGCAGCAAAGCATATCAATAGTTTCAAAGTAGCCCTCGGTGCGAACTCGATTGGATACCACTGCCTGAGACTATACTTATTTGCATGTGTTCTCATACATACATACATACTCATCGTGGGGATTCCAAATCTCAATTAAATGATTGATTATACAAATGATCGCGCCAACAGACACAAGCGTGAACAACTAAATAGGGAATGAATGGAGGGAGATACTATCTAAACCAGCTACTTGAGCAGCTAATAGCCACATAGTATGTATGTATGTATGTATGTATTTACTCGTTCTTCGGCAATGACGTTGTGTGTTACCGGCACTAATATAGAGTGTTCGCGACGTTCCACACGCTAGCATGTGCCTTCGCTTTTGCGGCGATCGTGTGGCAGCCCTAATGATCAATGATCACGCGCTCATGCTGCCCCCGCTTAAATGGCTGCGTCGACGACGAAGAGGTGACGATCGATCGCTTTAGAGGCAATCAAACATTATTAGCCATGCCAAGAGTACCTATGGATGTATATGTATGTATGAACAGTACCTGTAGCACAAACACAATCCCGCAAATATGCAAAGCATAGAGCAGAAAGCGATCGCGCAATCGAGCGAACTGATCGAGCCCACATCTACGAAGCAACGATCTCCACCAATCGAACGTATTCGTTCATATGCTTGCCAATATAAAGACGATCAATTGAACAAAGGTTAAGTCATTCGTGAAAAGGAAGTGGTAAGAATCTGTTCGGACCACTCTTCAAAGTAAAACTTACTCATAGAAATAAAAATAAAAAAATCGCGCCGATAACTAGTGGGCATCAAACATAGTAAAGATCAAATAAAGAAATTATCGCGCTGTGATGAAAAAGTGAAATAAAGTGCATCAAATCAAGTAAAGGAATTTTATTAAAGTGACATTTGAGGTGAAAATAAAAGTGCCAGCGAATTTAGTACAAAACCAAAAAAAAATAAATAAATAAACCAAAAATCAAAGAACTTACAAGGTTTTTTCAAAAGTATTAATAGTTCAATAAGAAGTAGTTAAATAATTAAAAACCAAAACAAAACAAAAACACACAAATAAATATGAATGCTGAAGAGTTTCGAAAATACGGCAAGGATATGGTGGATTACATTTGTGATTATGCGCAAAAAATTGAACAGCGCGATGTGGCGCCAACTTTGGATCCAGGATATCTAAAATTACTGATACCAGGTAAAAAAAAAAAAGATATGTATGTATATACGTGTATAGCGTATTAATTAGCAAAATCAGATGGCAATGACTTGATAGAACTGTAGTTTTAAATGCCATTGCGGTAGATAAAACGTTAGGTGACTATGCTACTTAAATTGATGAATATGGCGATGCAAAAAATATAAAAAAAAAAAAAAAGGTAAGGTAAAAAATTAACAAAAACATAAGCAATTAGTACCAGTACCAAAAATTAAATTAAAATGAAATTTTAAAAAAAAATTTATTAATAGCCGGTTTCACCAGCAATGTAAATGGAAAATGAGTTTTTATATTCTGTCAATTTTCATATAAAATTCCAAAAATTAAATTCATTTCCCACTTAAATTACTTTCGTAAAATTGGCTGTAAGTATAACAAGACAAAATATAATTAAAACTAATTACTTAATTTAATGTAATTAACGTAATTTAAAGGGAAAAAAATTAATTAAGTACCTAATAAATTAAATTAAGTTAATTACAAAAAATAAAAAAAAATCTATGAAGTAAGATTACTTAGCATTGTAACCAGTGATATCGTTTTCACAAAATCGCGGTAACAAGGGCCAAGGTGGAAAAAAGTGTAATTGTTCAGCCGCTTTCAAGAAAGTTTGCGATTGTAATTTATATATATTTAATTTCTTATTAATATTCAATACTTCAACAATTGAATTGAAAATAAGTAACAAAATTTATTATTGCCGTTAAACCACTTGATAAAAAAAAAAAATTAAAATAAAGTTGTTTTGCAAATCTTGCGAAGTTTTATGAATGCCAGCCTTTTCTGCCGGAGAAAAAAAGTGGCAAGAACAGAACAGGGTCTACCAAACATTGGCATTAAGGAGTACCCATCACTAATGCAATAGTATTAAGTAGTGAAATGGAAGTGAATAACATACTTTAGTTGATTCAATCTTAGCACTTGTTTGCGTCAAACGCGGCTATTCAAGTGAATCAAAAAAAAAAAAAAGATTTTTCGTGAGGTTTGATAAAAGAAGCGGCCAAAATATTTTCTTTAGTTTCACCACTTTCTTCAAAATTTATCGGCCTTTAGACTGAAACGAAGCCTGTTCAATTCCTCGAGGAAGAATTAAAAAAAAAATGGAAATTTTAAACTTCTAATATGTAACTGGCTTCCGAAAATAGACAAATCGCGATATTGTCGGGTTGATTGGTAGTAGAGTGGCCTAGGCATTGACCAATATCACAATGAGCGCTGTAAGCGCATTTTTTAGACCCTTTTACTGGAACCTCTTATACCAAATATGTATTATCTGATGTCGCATTTTGATTGATACCTTCAAACCAATTGATAAATCTACCTAGGTTAGTAATGAAGCACTTAGAAATTTGCATAATATTTTGCGTGGAGAATTTGCCTAGTATGCCTCATGAATTTTATCTGTCAGTGCTGGGCACTTGCAAACATAATACATAATGTGAGACTGTTTCCTTACTTTCGTCGTTTCCTTACAGCTACGGCAAGGAGGGTTGTACGGGACGACCATTTTTGCTGCATGTTCACTAAAGGGCCAATGTCTCTAATCATGAATGTTAACCTGATGATATCTTTTCTTGGCCTACCTACGAGGTCTTCCGTTTTCTGATTTGTCATAGTGGTATTTCAACCTTGCATATAATGAGCATTGCTGTATCCTGTTCCTCATGACACATAAACTGCACTGGTCGGAGTAAACACTACGAAGGTTTGACAAGTCTTTAATCATTTTTAAAATATGCCCATTAAGGTAAAGGAGTACTTTAGTTTTCCTTGTTGATACATTTTTCCATGATGGTGGATTTAGCCAGTCTGTTACCATCTATATTTGCCCAGTAAGATTGCGCTTCCTTTTTCACCCAAATATAGAAATTTTACCCAACGGAGGTCCATAGCAGACCAGTGATGAGTCCTGGGTCTATGAATGCCTGCCACTTCAATACCCTTAATTCCGCTTTGTACTGGTACTCTTGGGGGTATACCCTGCTTCTGGATGCGATGAGTGCTCAAAGCAGGGAGCCTGCTCTCATCGCGTTTGTAATATCCAAGCAGGCAAGTCGTCGGAGTTTGCTAAACTTGGCTTGCGTGGACTTCGTGTCTGTTTTCCTCCACCAGACGGGATGTAAATTAAAATATTTGTTAAAAATGGTTTCGTACATCCAGCTAGCCAATTTAGGTCCGTTGCACAAGTTTTTCGCTTTAGTTTCGCAGCTCCAAATGGAGATCTGGCCTTTTGAAATGCTTTATTTAGGTGCGAGTACGATTTGAGCTTGACACCCAGATATTTCAATGTTTAGAGAAGTATTTATCCTTAGAGAAAGGAACTATTTTAGCCTTGTTAGGGTTGACATTCAATCCGTATTGACAGCATTGGGGGCATCCTTTCCTGGTCTAGGGTAGAAGTTCTAGACTTAAGGACGCTTGTTACCGGAGGGTTGTTGCAACGTCAATCCTTTTGCGCAAGACGTATATTTATATTAGAGAACTTTTTGACCCCACGAGCTTCACTTATGCATTTCAATTAACAGCATTTAAAACTTACAACACAAAGCTATAAGCAAAAACTGCAAGACTACTTTTCAGCGACCATTTGAGTGCAAAAATGAATTTAAATTAAATTTACAAATTTCATGAAAAGAGAAAATATTCGAAGTAGTAAGATTTTAGAAAGTATACCAATACATAATTATTAATATAAAAGCGCATTCATAAATGTGGGGGCGACAAAATTGTGTGGGTTTTTAATTTTTTAGGACAAGCAAAACTTACATGCTAACGCAGTTTTTTTTTTTTTTGGTAAACTAAGACAACAACTACACACCGCAATTGAACTTATTTGAATTTAACACTGCTTTCCGTTGTCATGAGCCGCACGCCACAAAAGTCAACAGTTAGTCGAAAAGTATGCGCACATCAGTAGACAAATAGAAAAATGAGTAAGTGGTCGCAAATAAATATCCAATTAGCGGGCAACAAATAACTGCAACAAACAACAATAAACACCACTTATTAAATTATTATTAACGGCACGGCCAATGAAAGGAATGACATTCTTAATCCTACTGCCAGCAAAGGAAAATTAATGTACAAAATATTCATATAGTGGCGAAAATATAAATAGGGACGCGCCGACATTTTAGCAAGTTTTGGCTATTTTTCTTTTGTTTATTATTTTTTATGAAAGTATAGCTAGTTATAAAATAAAAAACCGAATTTCGTACATAAGTATATTTGAAAAATTTCGAGCTTTTATAGTATAATAAAGTGTAAGTTTGCAGCTAGAACTTACAGTTAATTTTGGGCAGTTTTTTTTTTTTTTGAAGGTCTTGCTCATTTTCTCCATATACCACAAAGAAAAATTCGGTATTCTTTGTATGAAAAAAATGCATAACACCGTCAACAAAAAAAAAAAAAAATACAAAAACTTTAATAAAATTTGATGCGCAAACCTAAAAGTTTTGATTTTTAATTTCCGAACAAAAATTTTGAAATTTTGATGATCATGATCCAATGATCGGAACTAAACCAAATTAGTATGGGACCGCCCTTGAGGTATCAACCTTCTTTTACGTGGTCCAAAGTTATCCAAGAACATATGCACATACATAAAAATGTTAAAATCGGTTAAAAATAAAAAATAAAAAAAACATTTAATAAACTAAATAAAAGTAGCCAAAACTTGCTAAAATTTTGAGTCCCTATCTATATTTACGCCAGCGTGTGTGTGCCTACGTACACACACACTTACGTACATAGAGATATGTACTCATACTTCATTCATGCGCGCATGCAAATTTTATTAATGTATTTAACAGCAGTCATGGGCTTGTTTTTGTTAGATAAATATAAATACTACATACACTGTAGATCTGACGAATATAAAGAAACATCTCTATTCGGTATCTGCCAATTTGTTAATATACTAGCGCCCAATTAGCTCATCATACGCCGTGTGGTACTAAATAAGTTCATATGCGCGCATGCATACATATGTAGTACATGTAAGTACATATGTACAATAGGGTTCATCACTCTTCTTACAAAAAATAATAGACACTGTTTTTCCATCGGAATTATAAAATTTATTATATTTTAAAACTTCCACCAGAATATTTCTGAAAAATAATCAGATTTAGCTGAGCAGGAAATACCTTCAAAAATCGAGTTTTTATAAATAAAATTAGTTTTCAAAAATATATTTTCTAAAAAATAAACTCAGAAGATGGACGAGTTTGGGCCTAAAAGGTTTTGGAGGTATATTTCCGACATCTTTTGGCGGAAGTCTTAAAACATAATAAATTTTATAATTCGGGTGCAAAGCCTGCAAGTTTTTTTGGTGATGCACCCTAATGTACATATGTATGCGTGTATCTGTGAACAAGAAAAAAACACGAAAGTGTTAATTGAAATATTAAAGATACTTGTACTAGAAACATGCCGGGCGCACACTTAATTTGTGGGCGTAAACATTTTCTTCGCGCATATTTGCATACAAAGAAATAAGTATGTTTGTGTGTGTGTGTGTGTGTGTGTGCCGATGTACCACACACACATCTCAATCACTGCAATGGCATATCTCCAGCTTCTCTCAATGCCAACAATCGTATTAAATATTTAATTATGCAAATTGTTTATTTATTTATCGACATGTGTTTAATTTTTTGCCTTCTGCACTCCTCTAACTCTGCTCGTTTCTTCATACATACATATCTCGTTCACAGCCAAAGCGCCACTAAAACCAGAAAAATTCGAAGATGTTCTAGCTGACTTCGAGGAAAAAGTTATGCCTGGCGTAGTGCATTGGAATCATCCGAAATTTTTTGCATACTTTCCCGCAGGCAATTCGTTCCCCTCCATTTTGGGTGATATGCTGAGCGCAGCGATTGGCTCAATCGGTTTTTCATGGGTAAGTTGTAAAATTCAGGAGAAATTTAATTTAATCAAATGAAATGAAATATGCTAATATTCACACTTCTTTTTACGATTCCAAAAACAGGCCTCCTGCCCCGCCTCCACAGAACTAGAAACCATAGTACTCGACTGGTATGCCAAGGCGCTTGGCTTACCCAAGGGCTTCATCAGCGATCTACCCGGCAGTCGCGGCGGTGGCGCACTCCAAGGTTCCGCCTCCGAATGCACGCTTGTCTGCATGATCACTGCCCGTTCACGCGCCATACAAAAGCTGAAAGGCATGTGCTCAGAGATTCACGAGAGCGTCTTCCTGCCACAATTGATTGCGTACGCCAGCAAGGAAGCACATTCCTCCGTAGAGAAGGCTGCAAAAATGGCGCTTGTTAAGCTGCGCATTATCGAGGCTGATGAACGTGGACGCATGCGCGTCGATTTGCTGCGACAGGCAATGCAAAATGATGCAAATGCTGGCCTGACGCCGTTCTTTGTTGTGGCCACCGTTGGCACGACAGGCGCTTGTGCATTCGATAATCTCACAGAAATTGGCAAGGTTTGCAGAGAATTGCCGAATGTGTGGTTCCATGTGGACGGCGCATATGCGGGCAATTCCTTCATTTTACCAGAAATGCGTAAATTCTCCGAGGGCCTGGAGTATGCTGACTCATTCAATACGAATCCTAATAAATTGTTGCTCACCAATTTTGATGCGTCTGCCATGTGGGTGAAGGATGTGATGAGCTTGAAGACGGCGCTAAATGTTAATCCACTATATCTGCAGCATGAGCATGAGAAGGCGATAGACTATCGACACTATGGCATACCGCTGAGTCGTCGTTTTCGTGCATTGAAATTGTGGTTTGTCTTCCGCTCTTACGGCATTATGGGACTACAGGCGTACATACGCAATCACATGGCATTGGCGAAGAAATTCGAAATGCTCGTGCGCAAGGATGAGCGCTTCGAAGTGCGCAACGATGTGTACCTGGGATTGGTGTGCTTCCGTATGCGCGCCGCCGACACATACAATCAGGAGCTGCTCGCCCAGATCAATCACTCCGGGAAGATGCATATGATACCGTCGATGGTTAATGGCAAATATGTGATACGCTTTTGTGTGACATACGAACATGCAACCGAGAAGCATATAAGTAAGTGCATACTCGTTTTACTTTCCTACTGATTTTTTTTTTTAGTAAAAATCATATGCGGCTTTTCTGATTTAGCTGGTTAAACCCCCAGTATACAGTTAACCAGCGATTGACAATATGCTTATTTCAAAATTAATGTATGAAATATTGTCCATGTATAGCATTTTTTTGTCATTAACCCATAGGCAACGACTGGTGCAAAAGTATCCACAAATGTTTGTTCATATTATTGAAATGCAAATTTCAACAGCAAAGTTCGTAAAAAAAAATAATAATAAAACAAAAATATAGTTAATTACTACATGGGAGATGGGCCTGGTTATTGACAAATTTCGCCAAAATTTAATACTAACCTAAATTATACCAAAGGCAACGTCGTCACCGACTTCCGTTAAAAGATCTAAACTTTGTTCGAGTTAACGTGTTTACAAACAGAGACGGCTGAACCAATTTCTCTCGACATTCTGCATATTTTGATATGTATGTATGTATACATATGTGTTGATAAACGGGATCGCTTATCTGCATAAACCGTCTTTATTTGCATTAACTCATGCATTATCCTCTTTCAAATGTGAATAGTCAGCTGAACAAATGCATAAACATTTCGTGCATTTGCCCGAGCGTAGAGATATAATTTTGTATACACATTTCATAAAAGCTATGGAGGTCTCCACTCTAAGAGTGGTATATTTGAAAATGGGAGAGCTCTAACTTTAAGCTAAGTAACACATCTTTTACCCCCTACTCGATGGGACCATTTTCCAAAGACAACCACCCATTATTCACTCAAAGTTGTGTTCGGAACACGGCATGACATAGGAACTGCAACTGTGGAAATATTTTTCACTATAAGAAGATATTGAAATTGGATTTCTTTTGGGTTAACGAAAAAGACAAGTGTGAAAAAATATCAACGAATACATTCAAACAAATTGTTAAATAAGCATATTTACATTTTTTGTTTTGTCTATCCGGGCTTACTGTATACTGTGGTTAAACCAAATTTGAGAAATTTACTTGAAATCGAAAAGTGGAACAGTTCCGACAGTTTTAGTTCTATTTCGGTGTTATTTAAATTTCATTTATCGATAAATTTTCGGCGATTTTTTCATTAAATTTTTTTGTGATCAAAATAGGCTTAATTTTTTGAGTTCTTTTTTTCGTTTAAATTGAGTTTAAACTTTCTTATTTAATTAGCGTTTTTGTGGCTTTGCGCTAGCGGTTACATGCCACACAGAAATAAAATATCTTGATCTGGGGAGCGACATACATATCGTCACCTGAAATGCAAAAGACGCAACAACATCGCCACTGAAATGGAAAAAGTCGTGACAATTTTTTTTTTCATAAAACGATGTGGGGAGTTGTAATTTGATGAAATCTATCATAGCAATCAAAAAGTGAATTTTGAATTTTTTATCAGTTACGACTTGTTGCATTTCAGTGACGATTATGTTACGTTATTTTGCATTTTAGGTGACGATATATACATACATATGGATTCCTATTTATTTTGACACGTGAATCGAATTCGCTGTCAAAATGGGCGCATGGGGTCGTGGTCCAAATTTAACCTAATTTTTCTAGCACATTGTTGCGATTTTTGGTTGGTTTTTAAGGTTAGATTTGAACCAAGCCCCGTTGCGCTAATTATGACAACGGAAGAAAAAGTAACACGATTTTCTTTTCAAACAGAGTCGAGTTAGGGTTTTCCATGTTAACGATTTGAGTTCTTGAGCAGAAAAAAATATTTAAAAAAAAATCGCTTTCAATTTAAAATCAAATTTGTTTTAATGATTGTTTAAAGTAGACAAAACACCGCTTGGCGCTAAATCCTATGTGTTTTGAATTTAAATCATCGGCAAACATAATTCAAAAACATTTTCGGAAAATGTTAACGAAAATATTTCGGAAAATATATCGATTATTTTCTATTCCTTTAAAATGTGAATCATATCTTATGGAAATATTCAAAATTTAAAAAGACTGATCAATTTTGGCCGAATAAAAAAACAATTTAAAATAAAAACTACTTATTTAAACAAAATATCTTAATTTTTTTGCATTGGAGTGAAGATCAAAATAACGATTATTTGCTGTCTCTTAGCTACACCCAACCAAAAAATAAATATCTTGGCTTTTCTCTCTTTTACAGGCGATGCCTGGGCTGAAATAAAGGCCTTCGCCGACGACATTCTACGCGATGTACCTGCCCTCTCGCCTACACCCGAAAAGGAGAAAGTTGTTTCGGAACCACAACCTGTCATCGGCAAACCACCAATCAAAAAGAAGCTTACGCGCACCAAATCATTACGTTTCTCCTTTACACGCAGCATATCGCGCGAGATGTACGAAAGTCAAAACGAACATCTCAAGGATGGTTGTACCCCGATTTTGGTTGTAGACTCCAATGCTATGCTGCAAAGTTTTATGAAAGCAACAGCCGAACAAAATAAATTAAAAGGTATTGAAGATGTGGACGCTGACGAGGCTAGTAATTAGGCAAAGTTTGGCAAGAAAATAGAAAATGAAAACAAAAACTAAGCTAAAGCATCAAGAGGCCTAAGCGTTGAGCGCTGAGCGCCGGGCGCCAAACGCGTCAGTCCATTACATAAATATGCACCCATATACATTTACATACACATTTCATAGATATATCGATAATATGTAGGTATTTATGTACATAGAAATCGCGTATATAACACGCCCAGCACGAATTACCTCCAAATGAATGTATTGTAGTTATTAAATTTAATATTTTAAGTGAAGAATGCATCAGCTTTAGCGAAAATTAAACATTTATTTTAGTTATATAGTACATATATGTATGTATGTATGTTCATATAAAGTACTGGGCCTGGCTTGGTGGAAATTTAAAAGTAAAGTCATTAGCTAAATATGCCGTTAACTCAGTTATGATCGAATGAATATGCATTTAGTTTTAAAATTCGCGCATAGTTATCACAACCTGTACGACTGGTACTGGCATTCATTCAGTACATAGTCGCTAACAGCTTCATCACCAACCCATCATCACTTTCCACTTGAGCAATCGCTTTTCACTTTATGTTCCTATTATTATCTACATTCTGTTATTATGCACTCATGTAATTGTAATTATTTATTTATTTTCTGATTTGCAAACATACAAGCATACGTCTATTGAATATACATACATATGTACTACGATATAAATACATAAGTATGTATGTAGTTATTTTGTTCATTTATAGACATACATACATACATACATACATCCTATTTACTATGTATGTTTGGATGTATATATGTATGCAAAATATTTTTATTAAATTCTACTCGAATATACATACTATATGATGTACTTTATGTAAAATACATATGTATGTGTGTATGTATTTATTATTTTTTATTGATTTTTATATTTCTAAAAAATTTTTAATAAAGAAAATATTTATTAAAAAACAGACTAAAAGATGTATTTACTAACATTAAGCCAATAATCAATTACCAAGCATTAGAGCAAGGCAGAAAGCTAGCCGTCCTCAGGCACAGTAGGAGCGTCATAAACCAGGGTGTCCAGATTGTTAAAAAAAAAAAAACGCAATTTCCGAATTTTTTTCACCAAAAATCGACAATTTTTGTTTAATAAAATTCATGAAAACGATTTAAAAAATCTTTTATTTTAAAAATGACTTATGTATATAATAGTGATGTACAAACAATTTTCTTTTAAAATACGCATACTTTTTAAAAATATTTGTTTCAACTAGGGCTGTGCGATTAATTGATTATTCATAATTTTAATTAATCATAAAGTAAATAACTCAATTATTCGATTAATTGGAAATTATGATTACCCAAAAGTTCAGTTACTCGAGTAATCAAGATTTCGATTAACCAAAAACAAAAATATTTGAGTAATTTGCTTTATGATTAATCAACATTATGAGTAAAATGAAAAAATCAGCATTTCAAAGTACTCTTTACATATAAAGTAGTTGAAGTTCCTTGATACTTTGAAAACAACGTTTCTGCTTTCAAAAATTAAAATTATTATTTTTTTTCATATACAGAGGGCGTGTGTGAATCGGTAACAAAGTTCTATGGGGTTCTGTCTCACTATGGTGAGACAGTTTTGCCAATCTGCTGTGTGAAATTTAATTTTTTTTTTGACAGCAGTAAATTTTTGATAACCTCAGATTTATGCGGAATAAAATATTACAAATTGAAGTGAAATTAATATTTTGAGAAAACATCTACCATCGTTGATTGCAATTTACCAATTTAAGCTTTTATTTAACGAAAAACTACACACATCAACAATCTTTGTGATTGTCGAAATTTTCTATACATTTGTCAAAAATTTCCCTAGCCTCATGAGCTAGTGAAATTTTATTCACCTCATAGTTGTCAAAAATTTACTCGCCGCGAACTTTGTTACCGATTCACACACGCTCAGAGTGTAAAAAAGAAAATAAGCCTTTTCCAAAGCAAACTCTTTTAACGAGCAAAATTAATTTTTTTGAGTAATTATATTTCAAGTAACTCGATTAATCATCGTTTTGGGTAATCAAAATTTTGATTATTCGAGTAATTGATTAACCGAATAACTGATTAACCAACTTGATCGAGTAATCGAATAATAGTACAGCCCTAGTTTCAACACATTTTGCAATAGGACTGTGCAATTATTAAATTTATTATAACTCATATTAATTGATTAATCGCACAATCCGGCTTTCCAATCTCATCCTATTTCGACAGCTGAGTGGAAGATCGACCTATCTCGGCAGCCAGCTCAAAAACGCCCTATCTCAAAAAACTTTTCAAGAACGCCCTATTTCAGAATTTTATTGAAAAGCACCCTCAGAATTTGGTTGAAGAACGCCCAATCACTTCAAAATGTATTGAAGATGTGCTGATATAGGGCGTTTTTGAATCGGCAGCTGAGATAGGGCGTTTTTGAAACGAATTCTGAAATAGGGCGTTCTTGAAAAGTTCTTTGAGATAGAGCGTATTCGAGCTGACTGCCGAGATAGGTCTATCTTCCACTCAGCAGTCGTTTTTTTTGTTGTATTTATTACGGAAAAACGCGCTCAACAAAGCGTGTGAGTGCGGCAAGGATAACAATATGAATTTACTTATATTTCCAAACATTTTATTGTCTATTGCGGTTTTCACTCCGTAAGCAATTATCCAAAATTCGTCCGAGTCGGATGGAATGGTTCTGAGAAAAGTTATTCCATGGGAAAGTTAAAATATTTAAATATTCAGGTTCCGCTGCTTTTCTTTCAAGTCAAGTAGTGAATTGGTAGTTCCCTGAAACTTGCCCTCTTGAGATTCACACACTTTTCTGGTGACAAAATCAAAGCTTTTTTTAAAAGTATTCAATTGACTAGGGAATCGTTTCAAAAATTCTTCGATTAGGGTGATTAAACATTTTTGACAGTCTTTTTATATGCTTCTTAAGTCAAGTTTATCACGTAGTTATTTAGCCTCTTCTGTAAAATTATCGTGGAAAACTAAGTTTTGTATAGTTTTATAATTGGAAAAAATTTATTTGAAGGGAAAAAATCGCCAATGGCAACTTCCTAAATTTTTACCCGCAACTATCCACAAAAATCGCCAAATTGGCGCGAAATCGCCAAATCTGAACACTCTGCCATAAATAGTAAAAATGGACCTACAATTTTCAAAGTTGGTACACAAGCTTCTTTCTGAAAAAATATTGTCTAGTAAGTACTGCTAAATGGAACTTAATACGTCTGCAAATTCTGCCAGTTCCCATTTAACGGGGATTTCGAAAAAACGTTTTAATTGTCATATTTTCAAAACAAATAAAGTTAGAATGCTCAAACTCGATATATAAGGACATATTTGAAGTAAAAAGGAAGTTAAAAGATCCATATCTTGAAAGGGGGGCGTGACATCGCCTACATTTTATTAGTTATTTGCATCTCAGCTGTGGTTGTGATAATCTATACAGCATCAAGCGATTGGTCCTAGAGGAAAGCGAAGAGATTCCACCGAAGTCGGAAACAGTTGTTTGGGCGAAGATTGACAGAGATTTGGGGACAAACAAACTATGGGTTGTTAGGTTAGGTTAGGTTAATCTGGCCGGCGTTGAGCAGCTTATAGACCGGTAGGTCCTTAGCGCTGCCAGTTGGAACTCGTTTTTACGCGTTAAAGTAGACATCACAAAGGATGTCAACGCTTTTTGCAAATGTCAATAGAAAGTTCAGCTCTACTGTTGACATGTCTTCTAACTTCTCGAATTGGTAGGCTCCCAAGCATTTTAGTCTTGTTTTTAACAGTGCAGGACATCGGCAGAGAAGATGCTCCAAGGTTTCCCTGATCTCCCGCTCACGACACTTCCTGCACCTGTCCACGCTACTAATACCCATTTTTTGTGCATAAGCAGCTGCCAGGATAAGCGCCGTAAGCAATCCGGTGATAACTCTGCAGTCTGCCTTTAGTAGCCGTAACAAGCAGTTTGTCTGTTCGAGAGTCAGATTGGTGGCGTTCTTGGCAGTCTCATCTGTTGTTTCGTCACCCCCAATTCACTTGTGGTCGAGCACCCAATACATATGCATCTTTCTTCCGGTGGCTAGCCTGTCAATGCCTTCCCGGATGTGAAGGATGTGCCGCCTGACAGTCTACGTATAGGTTTACTTTTGAACTGATTGCCGTTTGGATGTAGGCTAGCTCTACTGCTATCCTCATTGAGATAATCTCTGCTTAAAATATGCTGCAATTGTCAGGTAACCTTACTGTCCGCCTGACGTTCAGTTCAGGGCAGTGAATCCCTGCATCCACTCCCGTTACAAACCAGGCAGGACCAACGTTGTGAAACATCGCATTAATACTGGGGATGCAAGGCCAATCCGCCAAGCTCTTCGAAGTGTTCCACTTGACAAACGTGAAGCTTTAAACCATATCATATGGGAGGATTCTAAACTGGTGCTAAAGCAAAAAGGATATGTAGAGCGAGGAGTGAAAGGAAAAAATTAGTGACAATAAGAAGCGTAGGGATGAGGCAGGAAAATATTTGTATTTATCGTTTTCTGAAGATGATGAGGAGATGGTGAACGAGCCAAGTCCAGTTCTCCTTCAGGGAAGGTTGAATGATTGGTCAAATTAGTAACCCCATATCAGTCGGGGCCGCTGTGGTGTAGTGGTAAGCAGTACGCGCTGCCACTCGCCAGGGCCTGTTTTCAAGCCAAAGCAACATTGCAAAAAAAAGTTAGAAAAAAGGTTTTTTCTTAACAGCGGTCGCCTCTCGGTAGGCGATGGCAAACGTTCGAGTAATCGTAAAGACAAGTCTGCGGTTACAAGCTACGGGTGGGAATGGTTTACCCCAAGGTAGTTGCTTATCTCATGTTCTGTTTAGTATTTATACAGCTGTGTTTCATGCAGTTGAGGATGGAAATGTTAGGATTCTTCAATTTGCTGACGACTTTGCCCTAACCACCTTGGACCACCTTAAAAGCTCCATAATTCTCTTTATTAGTTTGTGCAGTTCCCTAAATCTTAAAATAAATATGAGCAAAACTAAGTTTATGTATTTAAACAATAATACGAAGAGAGAGTTTCATCTTAGTATTAATGGACAGCAGGTTGAACAAGTTTCCAAAATTAAGTGGTTAAGCAGGATAGTCAGAGCAAATGCAACCATAAACGATTATGTAGGGTATGTTAAGAAAGAGATCCTCCCTGCCAACAATGTCCTTAATAAACGAACAAGTATCAAATCTGACCTAGAGCCAAGACTTGCTTTAAACTTCTACAAATCCTTCATTAGGTCAAAAGGTGAATATGCTGGCTCGACTTTTGCTAGTGCTCCGGGGGGTTTAACCAAAAAATTTGCAAATAGGTTTAAATAATGCGATAAGAAGGTGCTTGGAAGTTTCTCCGAATACCCCAATTCATGTAAGATATGCCACGCGGGTGAGTTACCTTATATCAAAAGAGCTATGTATTAAATGGTTAACGGCTATTGGTCTGATTATGCCAACTTAACGTAACTTACAGCCTCTCACTTAAAAATTCTCTTAAATGGATAATGCTTATAATTGAACAGCTGAAGATTAATGTAACTTAATGCCACGTCCAAATCTGTTTCATTTTGATTTTCTAAGTTCTAAGTTCCGTTGAGTTAAGTCAAGTTTTCATAATCAGGCAGGTTAACCTAATACTCGCGGCGGAAAAATTTTCCAAAACGGATCCAGGCTTTGTAAAAAA